TTCCGCGCAATCCAGACCTTGCAAGAGCGTACCCGGTGCAAGACAATCGATGAACTTATCGATGCGACGCTGTCGGCCTGGACTACGGTTGACGCCATGACCCTAAACTCAAACTTCCTCACCTTGCAGACGTGCTTGATCGAAGTCGTTCGTGCTGGTGGTGGTAACAACTACAAGATTCCCCACATGGGCAAGAAGAAGTTGGCCAAGCAAGGGCTGTTACCGGAGTCTGTGGAGTGCCCGCGGGATGTGTTCAACTTCGGTCATGCGGCTATCGGGGCTACTGATTTTGATGCGCATGTCGACTTGTTGGCGGAGGAGGTCGCTTCCAATATGGAGTTAGCTAGGTTGAGCTCAAACCTTGAGCATCTCTGCCTTGCGTCATACGATGCTGACGAAGAAGGAGTGGACACAAGCTGGACAGTCAGCTCTGACTCGATTGACATAATTATCTGAGACTTTGGATTGGATAGTAAGTTCCTAAATATGTTGCTTTTCATGGTTTATAATTGGTTGTTGACTTTTTTTTGTCAAATCAGAGGCATCAATCAAAACTGAATCAATCACTTATTTTCGGATTCAAGTTTTGCCAAACCAATCACTTATTTTCGGATGGAGGTAGTATTTACTTTTGGGAATATGTTGACAGTGAATATACTTCAAACTTGTATATGACGCAAGAAATGGATTAACAACATTTTGAGAACGAGTGTCGGCGGCCGGTTGTGAAATATCACGTGTCGCAATGCATATACACTATACGGTACTTAGACTGTGGCAGCGGGCGGTAGCCATTTGATTTGTGTAGGGATCTGTTGCGATTTTAACTTTTCCCAATACCTCTGACATTATTATGTTAAATTTCTCGTTGGCTGGTGGACTGGTGAAATACAGATGATAACATGTCCTAGTCCCTTTTACGTTGGTGGTGGTGTCACACGTATGGGAAAAATAATTTTAATTCAAATAGTTCACAGTTAAATTTGGAAATAATCAATTGGCAACTTAAATATTTAATTTATCGACGTACAATATGGTATCTTACTTTTGTATACATGTACAATTCTTATTTCAAAAAAATTGACCAGTAAATTGCGATAATATTTCATTGTTGGCAATGGCGAAATAATTGCCACTCGAAATGGCTGCCATTAAATATTTAATTGTGTAGTCCGCTGTCAATTGGTAAAAATTATGTTTTCCCCATACCTTTCTGACTGTATGGCACGCCTAGAAATGAAATGAAATGTATGTCGTGGTTTGTAGTGGAGCCATAGAGTTCCCGTTTCAAAGGTCACCGACAAATGTCAACGTCATATCGTACAAATCACAATTCTATCGGATGTTTTTACTCTCCAAAAGCGTACTAGTATGCTTCTAGTACTACTACGTACTGCATGTAGTAAGTAGTACGACGATCTCGTCGTGTTAACTGGAATACGAGATATTTGGCCAATCCAATAACGTTATGGTAGATTTCAGCTAATCCAAACTCGTGTTTCGTTAGTACGTAGTCTAGTAGTACTACTAGTAGTCGCAACCTAGATCTGACCCAGATCTCCACAAATGATGTTGTCTCGATTTCAAACACGAAAGTCAGCGAGGGTGGGTTTTGGGGAAGCCGGAGCCAGTGCCTGCACCGCAAAGCGAGGCGCATGGTAAACTACACCAAAAAGAGAGTTATGTTTCAATGTTTGGATTACAGAGTAATTTTAGCTTCTATTATACACAATCAATTTAATATTTATTAATTGTTTTATATTATGAATAGAAGCTCGGCATTTCTTTCCTCGACGCCACCATCGACGAACACCAGCGTAGAAAGGCCCAGCTGCAGTGGTCGTCTTCTTCTGCCTTGGCGACACATACCCTGAAAGTGAACTTAGTCCGTTTTGAGTTTCTCGATCCCGACATCCACTATATCGATACAGACTCCCCCTTTAAGGCAGGGTATGTAGCCACTTATGCACTTTGATGAATGCGTCGTGACACTGTCAAGACACGATGGTGTCGCTGCAGTGTTGTTATGTGCCCAATTACATCCGAAATCGGGAAATGTTATTTTCTACATATTTATAAAATTGCACGAAGTATTAATACACATAATCCTATCCGGCCACCCGGTGCAATTTGCAGTTGTGGGCCCCCTGTATACAAATGTCTTGTGCGGGGAATTTTGAATCGCTATGTTTGCGTGGCGCAGCAAAGACAAGACGACAAAGTGCTTGATTCGATAGTACGTCGACGTGGCAGTGGCTCAATGGCGTGGAAGTAGTAGGTAGTACTAGTAGTACTAAAGTACTCATTGATTCGTTGAGGTACTCATTACGTAGTACTCAATTTTTATTGGTAGGACTCAATAGGTACTAACTCCGTGCGTCGATTGCCAATGCCCGATCGCCACAACGGGTACTCAATTGCATTTCACAAGCGGTTCGATGCCAATGGTGTTATGTGTTTGCTCACCGTGGGGATATTCACACTCTTTAAATGTCCTGAGCAGTACGACAATCTCAAATGTTCATTTCGACCGGCAACATAGAGTGGCCTCCATCCCTTCTAATCGTTTGCCAGGAGATCCACTCATGACTAACAACTAGGCAGCTCTCGTACGCTGATTGTCGCGTACATTGGTTCAATAGTTCCTTCACAATGCTCAAATGTCAAGTCAATTTGCTATAGTTTTTGCCAATACCATTAGATTGTGCAGATTAAAGCAATAAGATTGGCTGAAATTACATTTAGAAGATTTCCACCAATGACTACAGACCTTCGATGGAATGTTCTATTACTGTCAACTCCAATCTAGCGTAAACATCATGGATTGATAATAAAACGTCACTTGCAACGTAATATAACCTACCGTCGTTTTGTCTAAACTCATGCTGAACATGCATGTATCATACATACATAGTCAATGAAATACTCTCCATCACATCATTTTGTTTGTACCCATGCCAATATATACTATCTATCACATATGTGATATTCAGCAACAAATACTGGCATTTTCACTAGACTTCACTTGAATACGGACGTCGCCATTTCCATTTGGCGCGAGTTCACACAGATTGGGTTATTTTTCGCACATCTGGGTAAAAACCGTATCCGTTTTAGTCGTTCAACCCAAAGTGACCAGCATTCTACTTTCATTATCCGGATATGGCCGGATACACAAGTGAAATGATGGTCTGTGTTCCACCAATCATATCTCGACATTCCTCCGAGTGGTCGAATCCTGCGTTTTGATTGGTCCGTGGCACGCGCCCTTCCGATTACGGAGCAGGGCCACATCGTCCCAAGTGTTGACGGCCCCCTGGCTTTGACGAATCATTCCAACGTCATCCTCATGGCTGCTGGAGCGATCAGTTCTGGATTTCCGATGAAGCACGCGGTGAAATGCAAGGTGGAGGCGGCGCCGCTGTTCCTCCAGAAGATCTACACCATGTTCGAAGACTCCCCCGCGAGGATTGCAGGCTGGATGAACAAGGGTACGACAGTCGTGATCAAGGAACCGGAGGAGTTTGCGCGGTCGATCCTGCCGCAGTACTTCAAGCATAGCAACTTTAGCAGCTTTGTGCGGCAGCTCAACTTTTATGGGTTCCGCAAGTTCAAGAAGGACGACATCCTCATCGAAGCACACGACCCGACCAAGCACTGGTGGGAGTTCCGACACGACAAGTTTGTGCGACACCTTCCCGAGCTCATGAGTCAGATCCGCCGCAAAACATACTCGGACACGGCCGCGACCGTCCATGGACCCGCCGACACGGAAGTGGACGTGTTGAAAAGCCAGGTCAAGTCGATGCAAAGCCAGTTTGATGCACTAACCAGCCAGATCGAATCGCTTGCGAACGTCGTGTCGGAGCTCGTACAGTCCAAGAAGCGATCGTGTCTGACCAAGGACGTCATGGACGAAGGACTAGTCGAAGTCACGGAAGACATGCACGAACAACCCAGGGAGAAGCGCATCAAGATGGAGGAAGCGCTTCCCGAGATGATCGCGCCTCCAACCCTCACCAAGCAACACAGTCTCATGTTCGATCAACTGGACGACCTCACCTTTGACGATGCGCTGCTGGACCCCGTCGCGTGGCTAGATGGCGTCGACTTCTCTGCGCCGCTGACGTGCACAACGCCCATGACTCCCATGGTGCAGCGCTGCGCCAACAGCGGCCCGCTGACATTTCTGATCGCGCTCAAGCCGCAGCAGACCTAAGTGTGCCTTCCTTCAACCACCTGCAGCATCATGCGCACTAGTATTATGCCGCGACCGTCCTGCACTGCTTCTTACCTTTTGCTCAAGACTAAGAACGTGTACTAATGTATTTATTCGAGATTCTGTTCCAAATTGAACGGTTTTTCAGATCACAACTCCGTTGAAGTTGAATTGGTTATCCAATCAAATTGCAGGAAGCCATCATGAATATATAATTAGTGTGATTAGAATATAAATTAGTGTGATTGGAAGCGCCACAGGTCAACGTTTTACATACAAATTTCAGTACAAAGAATCGATCGAATCAAAGTCCAAATTTTAGGTAACGTTAACAATCATTGATTTGCTGAACTTCTTGCCCAATAGAATGTCAGAATTGATATGATTGGATAAAACTAGTGACCGCAACAATGAAACCCTTGGTGAGTTTATACTATTCCACAATTATGCTAACGTTATAAAGTTTCAACCTTATTTGGAGGTATGTTATTTAACCTATGATAACTAACTACTTTATTAACGAACAGTAACCGTGTAAATAGATATTTGTATCGTTTGCTCAGCCCATTTGCAGTACTTTAATCAAGTCTACGGGTACGTCTGGTAACATTCCAAAAATAATATTCCATTTTCTCGCAAAATGGGATTAACCAAAATGCCATTTTCAAAATGGAGGTAAAAGGTCCATTTTGTAATGTGGCGTTTTGGACCTCTTGAACGAGTAAATCCCACGTGGAATTATTGGATTTGGGTTAAACCTCTGCAAGCAAGACATCTTTCAATTTTGATGAGATTTGTTGAATTCGGCCCTAAAATGGCGCTTTAAGCCTGAATATTGTCTGATTATTGGGTAGTTACGAAACTCGCACGAAATCCTCTACAATATAATATGTTCAGTACTGTTAGAGTTCATACTTGGACTCTATTGAGTGCACATCGTGGTGTATTCGCAAAGACCTCCGCCTTAACATCACTGCAACGCACGATTCAAGGTACACGATGAGGGATAGGTATGCATTCTTCACGACATCACACCAACTTACCATGACATATCAGTGTTCGTTGTCAGATTAAGCATTGGCCACGGTACTGCCGAAGAATCGGCACCAGTGGTGCGCTGCCAACCCAACCACGACCAGCGGCACGCTCAAGGATGCATGGCGTCAAACCGTTACGTGGATACACTATATCTGTGCTAACATGATCGACTGTTGTGATCAATTATGCGAACAAACTATGAGTAGGATTACATCATTGATGTTGTAGTATGCTGCACTATAAAGCTTGAAAGTGAAGATGTTTGACTCATTTGTAGACGTATCTCAGGTGTGACCTATTGCCATCGATTTGTCCGTCCCAACTTACACTTTTCCGTGCCACAATTGCATCGACATGAAGGGGAGGACAAGTGAGCACGCCACAATCATCATTCATGCATTGACAGTGAATACATTTGATTACTGTTTCTTTCGAATTAGATCGTAAAATGTAATGTAACTTGTCTCGTCGATGTGCTTGTTGTCGAGCTCATGAGATGACTGAGGCCCATACACATGATGGCAAAGCTGAAGAAAACATGAAGGAAGGAGTTGAAGCTGAGCTGTCGAAGTCATTTTGGACACCTGAGCAACAGTGGCGCCAGAGTAGGAAACAAGCACTGCTATAACTCGTCGTGCTTTTGACAGACGAACCACGTCACGTTGAGACAAATCCCAGGATCGCAATAAGTGCAATGGAGCAACAGAATTCACTGGAATACCAAACCACCATAGACCCCACAAGTCGGACACACAACATGTTGGAAAATCAAACCCCTCTGGGACACAATGGAGTTTGCCACCCCAATTCCACATTTGATGTTGCATAACTGTAGTTGCGGGTGTGGT